ATTGTATTGCAGTTATGCTATTATACTACACTGTTGTATTATACTGTATAAGAGTTGGTTAGTGGAGCGGTGTATGAGTATGATCACGGGTGCTGGACGGGTATGTGACACGATCAGTTTGTGTGTCTGTGGTACCAGCTGTGTATGTGTGGTACCAGCTGTGTGTGTCTGTGGTACCAGCTGTGTATGTGTGGTACCAGCTGTGTGTGTCTGTGGTACCAGCTGTATGTGTCTGTGGTACCAGCTGTGTGTGTCTGTGGTACCAGCTGTGTATGTGTGGTACCAGCTGTGTGTGTCTGTGGTACCAGCTGTGTATGTGTGGTACCAGCTGTGTGTGTCTGTGGTACCAGCTGTATGTGTCTGTGGTACCAGCTGTATGTGTCTGTGGTACCAGCTGTATGTGTCTGTGGTACCAGCTGTATGTGTCTGTGGTACCAGCTGTATGTGTCTGTGGTACCAGCTGCATGTGTCTGTGGTACCAGCTGTGTATGTGTGGTACCAGCTGTGTATGTGTGGTACCAGCTGTGTATGTGTGATACCAGCTGTGTATGTGTGGTACCAGCTGTGTGTGTCTGGGGTACCAGCTGTGTGTGTCTGTGGTACCAGCTGTATGTGTCTGTGGTACCAGCTGTGTATGTGTGGTACCAGCTGTGTATGTGTGGTACCAGCTGTGTGTGTCTGTGGTACCAGCTGTGTGCGTCTGTGGTACCAGCTGTGTGTGTCTGTGGTACCAGCTGTGTGTGTCTGTGGTACCAGCTGTGTGTGTCTGTGGTACCAGCTGTGTGTGTCTGTGGTACCAGCTGTGTGTGTCTGTGGTACCAGCTGTGTGTGTCTGTGGTACCAGCTGTATGTGTCTGTGGTACCAGCTGCATGTGTCTGTGGTACCAGCTGTGTATGTGTGGTACCAGCTGTGTGTGTCTGTGGTACCAGCTGTGTGTGTCTGTGGTACCAGCTGTGTATGTGTGGTACCAGCTGTGTGTGTCTGTGGTACCAGCTGTATGTGTCTGTGGTACCAGCTGTATGTGTCTGTGGTACCAGCTGTGTATGTGTGGTACCAGCTGCATGTGTCTGTGGTACCAGCTGTGTATGTGTGGTACCAGCTGTGTATGTCTGTGGTACCAGCTGTGTGTGTCTGTGGTACCAGCTGTGTGTGTCTGTGGTACCAGCTGTGTGTGTCTGTGGTACCAGCTGTATGTGTCTGTGGTACCAGCTGTATGTGTCTGTGGTACCAGCTGTATGTGTCTGTGGTACCAGCTGTATGTGTCTGTGGTACCAGCTGCATGTGTCTGTGGTACCAGCTGTGTATGTGTGGTGCCAGCTGTGTGTGTCTGTGGTACCAGCTGTGTCTGTGGTACCAGCTGTGTATGTGTGGTACCAGCTGTGTGTGTCTGTGGTACCAGCTGTATGTGTCTGTGGTACCAGCTGTATGTGTCTGTGGTACCAGCTGTATGTGTCTGTGGTACCAGCTGCATGTGTCTGTGGTAGCAGCTGTGTATGTGTGGTACCAGCTGTGTGTGTCTGTGGTACCAGCTGTGTGTGTCTGTGGTACCAGCTGTATGTGTCTGTGGTACCAGCTGTGTGTGTCTGTGGTACCAGCTGTATGTGTCTGTGGTACCAGCTGTGTGTGTCTGTGGTACCAGCTGTGTGTGTCTGTGGTACCAGCTGTGTGTGTCTGTGGTACCAGCTGTGTGTGTCTGTGGTACCAGCTGTGTGTGTCTGTGGTACCTGCTGTGTGTGTCTGTGGTACCAGCTGTGTGTGTCTGTGGTACCAGCTGTGTGTGTCTGTGGTACCAGCTGTGTGTGTCTGTGGTACCAGCTGTGTGTGTCTGTGGTACCAGCTGTGTGTCTGTGGTACCAGCTGTGTATGTCTGTGGTACCAGCTGTGTATGTCTGTGGTACCAGCTGTGTGTGTCTGTGGTACCAGCTGTGTGTGTCTGTGGTACCAGCTGTGTGTGTCTGTGGTACCAGCTGTGTGTGTCTGTGGTACCAGCTGTGTGTGTGTCTGTGGTACCAGCTGTGTGTGTCTGTGGTACCAGCTGTGTATGTCTGTGGTACCAGCTGTGTGTGTCTGTGGTACCAGCTGTGTATGTCTGTGGTACCAGCTGTGTATGTGTCTGTGGTACCAGCTGTGAATGTCTGTGGTACCAGCTGTGTATGTCTGTGGTACCAGCTGTGTATGTGTCTGTGGTACCAGCTGTGAATGTCTGTGGTACCAGCTGTGTATGTCTGTGGTACCAGCTGTGTATGTCTGTGGTACCAGCTGTGTGCGTCACTGAATGGATATTATTTCCAGAACAAGAAGTATAATTATTTAAGTATATTGTTTCAAGTATGTCCATTGTATTAATACGTATATTAATAGTGTATGGTCGTGTTATGAGAGTGAGAAAGTGTGCCGTTTGTGTCATTACGTCGTGTTGAGGCTACAGTGTGTCTGGGAAGCTCCCACCGTCAGTAGGAGCCAGGAGGAGTCAGGTATATAGGCGGGTTGTGGTGTAGACTGGGTGAGTTAAGTTGTGTTTGTTATTTGCTTCAGGTTGTGTGTTTGTAATGAGTCTGGTATTCATGAGATTTATAACTAAGTTCTACATATTACAGTGTGTCAGTGGTCATAAGCCCATAATCATTTAATTGTTAATCCTGACTGTACTAGTTTATTTTTCTATTTGTGCATTCCAAAGAGTAAACTGGTTTTTCATTCTTTTTAAATAGTGGTTTTCACTAAGGAAACCTATAGACAGCAAATTGTGATAACAGGTCAATAAGGAGCTTTAGAGGCTGCTGCCAGGAACACTAGCTTTACCAAGTGTGAGTAGTAACAGACGTGTTGAAGTATGACCGGTTTGTCATCTAAGACTCCAAAATGGTAACATTCCTGGCGGGTCTTCAGGGGGTTGGACCAGGTTTCATTGCTCTCTTTGTCTTTGGGACAGCAGGGCCACCCAGCCCTGCTGTCCCAAAGACTTTTCTGTGGGGAGGAACGACGCCAAGTGGGAGTCTCTGGTGGACCTCGGAAGGGTCTAATGCCACCACTAGTAGTAGGCATCCATCAGTCTCAGGAGACTATGGAGTTGCGCTCTGGTTGTCGGTTGCCGCCACTGCACATGGAATTGGGCTCCATGATACAATTTGTCACAGCACTTGGTAAGGCGTCGACAGCCTTCAAGTACCTTCTTCCCTAAGCTGAGGCCAAGGTCAGTGTTGGTGTTTCCATCGGACCACAGACAATGAAGATCCAGAATTGCAAGGAATTCCTCAAGAAGCTCCGTAGGAAGGAGAAAGCGGCTTGTAGCAGCTTTGTCACAGGGGGTTCGGGGTTTCCTGTTCAGTCACACGACCGACAACTATGTGGGGCTGGTTGAGTCTCTAGTAAGAACGCCGACACAACTGACTGCAGAATGTCTCTTTACAAGTCCATATCCGTGATGCTCAATATTATTATTATTTATACATACAAGAGTTTTACATTTTTAAATTTTGCCCCGAGGGGCGAGTTTATTGGGCAGCGTCACTCATCCTGTGAGTGGACATACAGGTATTGCATCATGTACAACACTCCCCAACAGGAAGAAAACCCGCTGGGTTGTTCATCCTGTCACTTGTACCCATACACAGCTGGGACTAAATTAACTGTCTCAAGTGAACAGCTCCTCAAACAAGATTAACATCTGTCAACCCTTAAAAGCTTACGTTATCTTGCGGGTGCAAAATGGGGGAATCTTTTAAGAACAGTATCAATATTTGAGAAATAGCTATTTTCCTAACTCAAACAATGTGGGGTTTATCATTTTACACATATTTCTGATATCTCTCAGCTGTTCACATTCACGTAGATAGTGGTCAAGGCGGTGTCCGTCACTCTCATCACAGATTCTGCAACTTCGCTGCTCAACTGTTACAAGAGTTCTAACATTCTTGTACCAACCCGCAACAGCCACTAGCACGTGTAGCGTTTCGGGCAAGTCCCTATGTTCCCCGGAATACGACCCGCCAAGTCATTTAACAACCTGGTACCCATTGTACCTCTGTTGGGTAAACAGAGGCTATAGTTAAGGATTGACGCCCAGTAAATCCTCCCCGGCCAAAATACGAACCCAGGACAAAGCGCTCGAGAAACGCCAGGCGAGTCTTATCACTATACCATAGGAAGTCATCTTCATAAATTCAAGAACACTGGGAGCGTAGTAAGAGGCGCGAGGCGAGCACTGCCACCAGGACGTGCACCACTCAGAACACCGCTCATACCAAGAACACGATGGGACACGACATTTGGGGCTGATTTGTATAAGTGATTACACGAAATTCTGCCCGAAACGCTGTGCAATTAGGTATATTGTGCGCTGTGGCTTTAGATATAGAATATACTAAGCTCTATCTAATGAACAAATCCACAAGGGCCGTGACGAGGATTCGAACCTACGTCCGAGAGCATCCCAGACGCTGCCTTAATCGACTGAGCTACGACATGGTATAAGAATTGCAACTAGAAATTCTACTGAATTTACTTGGATCCTGCAGCCTCTCCGAGACACAAACCAGGGTTTTACACAACTCCCCCATGCACTCGAGCTATGTCAATTGGCCGTTCTACTTCTTCGCCCTTACTTCATTACACACAGAAATCACAATAGCGTGATGTATCAAATGAATTGATACATCATCAGTTGTGGATTTGTTCATTTGATACATCACGCTATTGTGATTTCTGTGTGTAAGCTCTATCTACGAATCCAACATTCTGTTTGTAACTCATTTTGTAAGTATGTATTTTTACCTGAATAAATATTATCACCATCATTTATAATATAATCGTAAATCTCGAAATTAACTTTAAACTACTCACTTCTAAATCTTTTATAGTCACCTATGTACAAGTTTAGCACAAATAGATATTACTTTTATTCATATGTTGCTTTTATTTTAACAAAAAAACACAAATTCGCCCAATTCCTCAGTGGAAATTGGTCAATTTCAAAATATCACATTCCTTTTAATACTATATGGTGGGCGCCGTCATCTCGGATGTTTATAAGGCCCGAGGCCATGGCACGAGGATAATATCACAAAATATGCAACAGCTAAAATATGGGCGGGATAACTCTTATGCGGCAAGATGCTTCTTGAAGATAAACTCCGGGTCGGTGCGGCCCAAGACTGCAGTGCTGGAGGAATACACGGGAAGGGTTGTGAGTGTGCGGACACTGCCATCAAGATCTGGGTCACGATCTCTTCAGACCTGCTGGGGTGAGATACCTGGTGCTTGGCAATTTCTTTATCCACTCCCGTGTTCTTGAGAATATTCTCCATTCTCCATAATGCACCCAAAGTTTGCCAGTACAGATATGGACTTAAGTGTTACAAATCATGTAACCCTTCATATAGTCTTGGGTAACTTCACATATGCCGCGCTTCTTTAGCGTGTTAATTAAAAAATAATTCCTCACGATAATAGATCACAAAGCAGCATGAAATCGGGATGTTGTTTGAAGGAGTTTCAAAGATGGCTCCCATACATAAAACTGTCTGGCAGACCTATTATTTTTTTTATTATCCCATACTCCTTCACTCCTCTTTAGACTATTCCTGATAGGTATCTCAGTTAATTTGAAACAAGAATGTTTTCTCTAAAGCCACTGATAAATGAGGTTAAACAATCTGCGACAGCCTCAACACACTCAAGTGAGGAAACAATGGCGATGTGTCAGCATACGGCATGTTCATAACTCTTTACTACAATTGTACACGGTCAGAAAGTATTTCAAAATTGTTTAAGTAAAATTGTATATTTTTCCATTTATCATTTACAGTATCATGTAACGAGGTGGGAACTATTTAGGGAATATATATAAATATATACATATATATATACACATTATATATATATATATATATATATATATATATATATATATATATATATATATATATATATATATATATATATATATATATATATATATGTCGTACCTAGTAGCCAGAATGCACTTCTCAGCCTACTATGCAAGGCCCGATTTGCCTAATAAGCCAAGTTTTCCTGAATTAAGTTATTTTCTCTAATTTTTTTCTTATGAAATGATAAATCTACTTATTTCATTATGTATGTTGTCAATTTTTTTTTATTGGAGTTTAAATTAACGTAGATATATGACCGAACCTAACCAACCCTACCTAACCTAACCTAACCTATCTTTATAGGTTAGGTTAGGTTAGGTAGCCGAAAAAGTTAGGTTAGGTTAGGTTAGGTAGTCGAAAAACAATTAATTCATGAAAACTTGTCTTATTAGGCAAATTGGGCCTTGCATAGTAGGCTGGTAAGTGAGTTCTGGCTACTAGGTACGACATATATATATATATATATATATATATATATATATATATATATATAGGGGTACCACCTCTGGTGCAAGTGTAGGGACCCATAGCCTCGGAGAAGAAAATAAAGAGTACTCAGAGAAGACCTTGTGGATCCTCACTGAACACTTTGATATTTTCTATATTATTTATATATATATATATATATATATATATATATATATATATATATATATATATATATATATATATATATATATATATATAACTAAAAACTCACACCCCCAGAAGTGACTCGAACCCATACTGCCAGGAGCAACGCAACTGGTATGTACAGGACGCCTTAATCATACCAGTTGCATTGCTCCTGGCAGTATGGGTTCGAGTCACTTCTCGGGTGTGAGTTTTCAGTTGCATATAGTCCTGGGGACGATTCAGGCTTGTTCGTATATATATATATAATATATATATATATATATATATATATATATATATATATATATATATATATATGACAATGTCAGACCACGGAGGAAAATGAAACAGGAAATTTCCTTAAGTACTTTCGTATATTAAATACATCTTCAGAAGGACCTTCTGAAGATGTATTTAATATACGAAAGTACTTAAGGAAATTTCCTGTTTCATTTTTCCTCCGTGGTCTGACATTGTCACATTCTTAATCACGTGTTTATTTTCGTGATATACACACATATATATATATATATATATATATATATATATATATATATATATATATATATATATATATATATATATATATATATATATATATATATATATTCAATCAAATTTGTCTTTCCCTCCCTGGCAGCATCAAGATCAGACAGCCAAGATGAGGCACTACTTTGCTCTTCCAATGAATGTCTCTAACATGGGGAGGTAGTATGATATAAACATTGAGACATGTGACCCAGAATCCAGAAGTAGGGAATGTTTCTATGTTCAACTCTCCTTGAACACTCATTGAATCATTCAATGTTCTTCTGAACCTCAGTAAATATTTGCTTCACGCTCACAGTCATGGGGCTCTTGGGTGTGTGCACTGAAAATGTCTGGTGTCAAGTAATTTGCAAGTATTGAGCTGCATAATGCATACATTTCTTCGTATGCATCATGTGCCTAAAACCTTTACTTTGAATGAACAAATCCACAAGGCCCGTGACGGGGGTTCGAACCTACGTCCTTTACTTTGAAATTCCTTATTCATGTACAATAAGCAGAATATTCTAGGAATTAAAAATACATCTTCTAAACAGACAATACATCATTTACATTTAATTCACTAATGGTTCGGGAATTTTCTAAGCAGAATCGATATGGCCTTCTAGAACCCCACTTTAAAAGAACAGATCTCCTTGTTGTACAGAAAGCCCCGCCCCGCCCGGGGGTCAACCCGCTCCGTGTGCCCCCCCCCCGGGTCAACCCGCAACGTGTGTCCCGCCCCGCCCGGGGGTCAACCCGCACCGTGTTCCCCCCCCAGGGGTCAACCCGCACCTTGTTCCCCCTTCCCCGGGGGTAAACCCGCACCGAGTTCCCACCCCCGGGGGTCAACCCGCACCGTGTTCCCCCCCTGGGTCAACCTGCACCGTGTTCCCCCCCCGGGGGTCAACCCGCACCGTGTTCCCCCCCCGGGGGTCAACCCGCACCGTGTTCCTCACCCCCGGGGGCAACACCGTGTTCCTCACCCCCGGGGGCAACACCGTGTTCCTCACCCCCGGGAGCACCACCGTGTTCCTCATCCCCGGGGGCAACACCGTGTTCCTCACCCCCGGGGGCAACACCGTGTTCCTCACCCCCGGGGGCAACACCGTGTTCCTCACCCCCGGGGGCAACACCGTGTTCCTCACCCCCGGGGGCAACACCGTGTTCCTCACCCCCGGGGGGCAACACCGTGTTCCTCACCCCCGGGGGCAACACCGTGTTCCTCACCCCCGGGGGAAACACCGTGTGCCCCGCCCCCGGGGCCAACACCGTGTGCCCCACCCCCGGGACAACACCGTGTACCCCACCCCCAGGGCAACACCGTGTGCCCCACCCCCGGGGGCAACACCGTGTGCCCCACCCCCGGGGGCAACACCGTGTGCCCCACCCCCGGGGGCAACACCGTGTGCCCCACCCCCGGGGCAACACCGTGTGCCCCACCCCCGGGGGCACCACCGTGTTCCTCACCCCCGGGGGAAACACCGTGTGCCCCGCCCCCGGGGCCAACACCGTGTGCCCCACCCCCGGGGGCAACACCGTGTGCCCCACCCCCGGGGGCACCACCGTGTTCCTCACCACCGGGGGAAACACCGTGTGCCCCGCCCCCGGGGCCAACACCGTGTGTCCCACCCCCGGGGGCAACACCGTGTGCCCCGCCCCCGGGGGCAACACCGTGTACCCCACCCTCGGGGCAACACCGTGTGCCCCCCCCCCGGGGCCAACACCGTGTGCCCCACCCCCGGGGGCAACACCGTGTGCCCCACCCCCGGGGCAACACCGTGTGCCCCACCCCCGGGGGCAACACCGTGTGCCCCACCCCGGGGGCAACACCGTGTGCCCCACCCCCGGGGGCAACACCGTGTGCAACACTCCCGGGGGCAACACCGTGTGCAACACTCCCGGGGGCAACACCGTGTGCCCCACCCCCGGGGGCAACACCGTGTGCCCCACCCCCGGGGGCAACACCGTGTGCACCACCCCCGGGGCAACACCGTGTGCCCCACCCCCGGGGCAACACCGTGTACCCCGCCCCCGGGGGCAACACCGTGTACCCCGCCCCCGGGGGCAACACCGTGTACCCCGCCCCCGGGGGCAACACCGTGTGCCCCGCCCCCGGGGGCAACACCGTGTGCCCCGCCCCCGGGGCCAACACGCACCGTGCCCCGCCGCGCTGCGTTAAGCTGTCCTCGGGCCTCGGGGTAGTCTCGTCCTAGCGATGGCCGACCCCATGGGGACACATTCAACAATTTTAACGTATTACGTATTTTCTTAAAAGTATATACTAATTAATACCATATGATATTCAAAGCCGGTACACGCATTTGTCTTGTGTTAATGAATGTGGATAAACTTTCATAGTTGTATTCTATAAATATTATGATACACTATATTAAAGTTATACAACACACACACGCACATACTTGTATACACAGAGCTGCGGTGTCCGAGTGGTTAAGGAGATGGACTTGAAATCCATTGGGCTTTGCCCGCACAGGTTCGAATCCTGTCCGCAGCGTAACCTATGTGTTTTTAGGGTCCTGTAGCATAATAATCTAGGTTCTTGGCTCACAATCATGGCACCTGTGACGGTTGAGCAATGTTTACCCTGATGCTTCTATTCACTTAACAGTTAAGTAGATACCCAAGAAAAAGGCAACTGCTGAGGGTTTCATCGTGTGGAGTGTAGTTGGCCATGTCCCAAGGAGAACTAAGAAAAGCCAAAGTAGAAGCTTCCTGTCCCTGACAATACCAAAGTCGGGTTTGTTTTTTACATACAATACGGAATTCCGGGTTCGAATACCAGGCGGGACAGAAATGGTTGGACGCGTTTTCTATCATCTAATGCACCTGTTCCTCTGGCAGTAAATAGGTACCCAAGAATTAGTCTGCTTGCTTTGGGGTTCCATCCTGGGATTATATATATATATATTATATATATGTTGTACTTAGTAGCCAGAACGTCGTACTTGGCCTGCTATGCAAGGCCCGATTTGCGAAATAAGCCAAGTTTTCCTGAATTAATGTATTTTCTCAATTTTTTTACTTATGAAATGATAAAGCTACCCATTTCATTATGTATGAGGTCAATTTTTTTTTATTGGAGTTAAAATTAACGTAGATATATGACCGAACCTAACCAACCCTACCTAACCTAACCTATCTTTATAGGTTAAGTTAGGTTAGGTAGCCGAAGAAGTTAGGTTAGGTTATGTAGGTTAGGTAGTCGAAAAACAATTCATGAAAACTTGGCTTATTAGGCATATCGGGAAATGCATAGTAGGCTGACAAGTGCGTTCTGGCTACTAGGTACGACATATATATATATATATATATATATATATATAATATATATATATATATATATATATATATATATATATATAATATAATATTATATATATATATATATATATATATATATATAATATTATATATATATATATATATATATATATATATATATATATATATATATATATATATATATATATATATGTCGTACCTAGTAGCCAGAACTCACTTTTTGGCCTACTATTCAAGGCCCGATTTGCCTAATAAGCCAAGTTTTCCTGAATTAATATATTTTTTCTAATTTTTTTCTTATGAAATGATAAAGCTACCCATTTCATTATGTATGAGGTCAATTTTTTTTTATTGTAGTTAAAATTAACGTAGATATATGACCGAACCTAATCAACCCTACCTAACCTAACCTAACCTATCTTCATAGGTTAGGTTGGGTTAGGTTGCCGAAAAAGGTAGGTTAGGTTAGGTTAGGTAGGTTAGGTAGTCGAAAAAACATTAATTCATGAAAACTTGGCTTATTAGGCAAATCGGGCCTTGCATAGTAGGCTGAGAAGTGCGTTCTGGCTATTAGGTACGACATATATATATATATATGTATGTATGCGAACAAGCCTGACCGGTCTCCAGGCGTATATGCCACTGAAAACTCACACCCCAGAAGTGACTCGAACCCATACTGCCAGAAGTAGTATGCACTTCTGGGGTGTGAGTTTTCAGTGGCATATATGCCTGGAGACCGTTCAGGCTTGTTCGCATTTGTGTTCCTCACGTGTGCCCCAAAGAATGAGGTGATTTGATAAAATACCATGCCCAAGATTACTTACAGTGCCGGCGAGGGGATGGGGAATTAGCCTCAGCTACCATCCCCTTTTGTCCGGTTGTGTTGGTCGAGTGGATAAGGGATCCTGTACATCAGATGCATTGCTTCTGGCAGTATGGGTTCAAGTCACTTCTTGTGTGTGAGTTTTCAGTTATATATGTGACTGAAAACTCACACCCCAGAAGTGACTCGAACCCATACTGCCAGGAGCAACGCAACTGGTATCTACAGGATGCCTTAATCCGCTTGACCATCACGACCGGACAAAAGGAAGTGATAGCCAAAGCTATTTGAACCACTTCCCCACCGGCACTCGGATGGTAATCTTGGGCATAGCATTTTATCAAATCACCTCATTCTTTGAGAGCAAAAGGCCATCAGTGAAATAGAGAGAAATCCGAAATATTTTTTCTCCTATGCAAAATCAAGATCAAAAACCACATCTAGTATCGGGCCCCTGCGAAAGGGAGATGGAACTTTCACCGATGACAACAAAGAAATGAGCGAGCTACTGAGGAAGCAGTACGACTCTGTTTTCAGTGAGCTATTAAACGCACTAAAGATTGATAACCCAAATGAATTTTTCATGGATATGATACCAACATCAAATCATATATCAGACGTCACCCTATCCCCACTAGATTTTGAAGAAGCCATAAACAGTATGCCTATGCACTCTGCACCAGGCCCGGATTCTTGGAACTCCATATTCATCAAGAACTATAAAAAACCACTATCGCAGGCCCTCCACATTCTGTGGAGACAAAGCCTAGATACTGGCGTTATTCCTGATATACTAATAACAGCAGAGATAGCACCACTTCATAAAGGAGGAAATAAGGCAGAGGCAAAAAATTACAGACCGATAGCACTAACATCGCGCATTATAAAAAATTTTGAGAGACTGCAAAGAAGTAAGATCACAAAATACATGGAATCACAGCATCTCCATAACCCCGGACAACATGGTTTCAGAACAGGGCGCTCTTGCCTGTCGCAGTTGCTGGACCACTATGATATGGCATTAGATGCTATGGAAGACAAACAAAACGCTGATGTAATTTACACAGATTTCGGAAAAACCTTTTGATAAATGTGATCATGGCGTTATTGCACATAAAATGCGTTCAAAAGGAATTACCGGAAAAATAGGCAGATGGATCTACAATTTCCTGACCAACAGAACCCAATGTGTAATAAACAACAAAATAAAATCCAGCCCATCAACCATGAAGAGCTCAGTCTCCCAGGGTGCTGTGCTTGCTCCAGTACTTTTTCTCATCCTCATATCGGTCATAGACAAGAACACAACCTATAGCACTGTATCATCCTTTGCAGATGACACTAGGATCTTCATGAGAGTAGGCAACATAGAGGACACGGCAAACCTCCAGTCAGATGTAGATCAGGTCTTTCTATGGGCTACAGAAAATAATATGGTGTTTAACGAAGATAAGTTCCAGCTCATGCGCTATGGAAATATGAAAATATAAAAACGGAAACCACGTATAAAACTCAGGGAAATCATGACATAGAACGAAAAGGCAATGTAAAGGATCTGGGTGTACTCATGTCGGAAGACCTTACCTTTAAAGAACACAATAAAGTAGCCGTCACAACTGCAAGAAAAATGACAGGTTGGATAACAAGAACTTTTCACACTAGAGATGCTATACCGATGATGACACTTTTCAAAACGCTTGTGCTCTCTAGAGTGGAGTACTGCTGCACAATGACAGCCCATTTCAAAGCTGGAGAAATTGCCGACCTGGAGAGCGTGCAGAGATCCTATACTGCTAGAATTCACTCAGTAAAACACCTAAACTATTGGGACCGACTAAAGAGCCTAAATCTGTACTCCCTTGAGCGCAGGCGGGAGAGATATATAATAATTTACACGTGGAAAATGTTAGAGGGGCTGGTCCCAAACCTGCACACAGAAATAACATCACATGAGACCAGAAGACATGGCAGGATGTGCAGAATACCCCCGTTGAAAAGCGGAGGTGCAACAGGTACTCTGAGAGAGAACTATCAACATCAGAGGCCCGAGACTGTTCAACACGCTTCCACTACACATAAGGGGCATAACTGGCCGACCCCTCACAGTGTTCAAGAGAGAAATATCAACATCAGAGGCCCGAGACTGTTCAACACGCTTCCACTACACATAAGGGGCATAACTGGCCGACCCCTCACAGTGTTCAAGAGAGAACTGGATAAGCACCTCCAAAGGATACCTGATCAACCAGGCTGTGACTCATACGTCAGGCTGCGAGCAGCCGCGTCCAACAGCCTGGTTGATCAGTCCAGCAACCAGGAGGCCTAGTCGACGACCGGGCCGCGGGGACGCTAAGCCCCGGAAGCACCTCAAGGTAACCTCAAGGTAAGGTTGGGGCACACATGAGGAACACAAATGCGAACAAGCTTGAATGGTCCCTAGGACTTAAACTTACATGGAGCAATATATTGTGACAAGAGTAATCTTAAACTAAGTTAATTAATGCTCAGATTAACATGCATAACAGGTAATGTAATTATCACTTCATGCAGTAATTAAAATGAAACAACAGAGGGAAATGTTGGCACGCCCACCAGCACTAAAACTCTCCCACGGACACTTGCCGCCTAATGTTCAAACAATTACAGAATTCACATACTGTTACCCACTTATGATCATTACAAACCACTTTTCCCACGGGATCAGCCGTGAGCAAACAAAGACAAAAACCAATCGTTCCCACGGTTGGTAAGTTGGGCTTATTGCAATATGCGATGAAATATATAACACATAACTTGCATACAAGTAAGGAATATTTATATGTACATACATGTAATCATATTATACGCAAGGCATATATAGGTACAAATTAATTTATTTAATTACGTATCTTATAGAGGTACGTAACAGTCTGGTCATCATATTCAATCATGTTCCTGCCATAAGTGCTTTTACAATTCGTTATTGAAGAAGACATCTCCCAATCAATTTGGTGAGTATTTTCTGACAAATGAACAAACCAAAGCATTAGACAATTGGCCATGTCTTAGAG